GGATTCAGAAACAGAAACAGGAAACCCTACAGGAAGAAATAAGTGAGTAAACTATACGCAGCAAAAGTTGCAATGGTATAGTGAGCAGTAATAAAAAATAAAATTCAGAAACAACTTCTTAAGTTAGCAAAGGAGGGTATGCTTTGCAGGGAGTACTAAACAGTTGCATTAGAAAAGCAATTTTGTCTTAGAGGAACCTTTACTAGATTCTCAATCACTTAATCCATCACTTAATCCAGTATTCATCACTTAAAAGCCAGTTTGCCTGCCTGACATACTGTGTTTCTTACCTGATTAAGTTATTCATAAGTCCTAAATATTGGTGACTGACAAGGGCTTCATTCTGATGTACACTCATAAAACTTTACTGATTACCATGTGACTAAAAATTCAATTTCTTCCTGTGCTCAACTGTAAATCTTAAAAATACTTCACTTATAAGATCTTTGTGATAATTTAGGAAAAGAATACTAAAGTTACTGTAAGCCACTTATTTGCAGTTCTTAAGGAATCTGTTAGAATTTGTTTAAATATTTTCCAGCATTTTTAAGGAAATAAGAGGGGAAGTTTCCTTTGCATATAATTGTTACTTTCTGCATTAGAGTCACTTCAGTCAACTATGCAACAGGATGAGGAAAGAAATGCCAAGATAAAACAACTCCTGGTGAAAACCAAAAAAGAACTAGCTGATTCAAAACAAGCAGTAAGTCCATATGCTAATGACTGTGTATTCTCTTTTTAAACTAGATTTTAAAAAAACAGCTGGTAGTTAAATGTTTAAGTTACTGAGGCTTGGAGGTTTTTTTTAATATCCAGGTAATTTTGTCTTGCAGGAAAGTGACCATCTAATGTTGCAGGAATCATTGAAAGGGGAACTGGAAGCCAGTCAACAGCAAGTGGAAGCCTATAAGGCAAGAAACTTCACTTTTTTATTAGTACAAGTCTTCTTATTTAAGTAGTAAGGGTGTGATTTTTACTGGGCACATGGAATATAGGCTGAAGAATAAAGAGGTGCTATTTTTACCTCTAGTTTACTGGTTCTTTTTCTTAAATGAGTTTTGTCTCTTTGCTGCTTTTACCAAATATTTTTTTCTGTGATTTTCTGTAAGCAGTTTTACCCTGTCTTTTTCCTCTTTCCCTTTCCACCAAAGGACAGGACTATGGAGTTTGAAACTTGCAAATGGAATGTATTTTTTAAAGATTCTTTAAAAATGGAAGTTGCTCAGCTTAAAAACAGAAGAGCACAACATTGTCAGCAAAAATCTTAAATGTTGTCCATGTGTATACAGAATGGAAATAGATTGGAATGTTATGAAAGAAGCAGGGAAGGGAGAGGGGTTGGCTTTCTTAAATGCTGCCACCCCAGCATTGTAATTTTATCTTCAATTCTCTTTTAAAACAACATCACTTTTTAAAAATTAATTCATGGTATTCCATGTCTATTTTATTCTTCTACTTCTATTGGATTTTAATTTTGTATTCACCTGTTCTGTGCAGGAATTATTGTAATAAGAGTCCTAGGTTCTCATTGGCATGTTCCCTTAGAGAAGTAAGAAAATTTTTTGTGATAGTGAAGTTTTCAACTGACTTTTTCAGATTCAAGTGGCTGTACTGACATCAGAAAAGCATAAAGTTCAGGAACAACTGCGAACATCTTCAGAGCAGCACCAGCGTACGATGAGTGCTTGCCAGCAAAAAATTGCAGCCCTGCAAGAAGAGTGCAAAACAGCCCAGGTATTCCAGTGGAAGAAGTAATCTTAAAAGTTTAAGAAGGGAGATTACTTGCACTCTCTGCTTCTTCAAAAATATTTTGCAGATTTTTCACTCTTCTCTTTTTGTATGTCAGGAGTAACAAGCTACCCCAGTAATTGAGTGGTGGTATAAAGGACAAGCCTGTCCTGGTTGTTGTGTGTCACTTGGAGTGATACATCTGGAGTTGCATACTTCTGTTTTCATTAGGGAAAAACTTGTAATGGGGAGCCAGTTTTTATTTAAGATGATCAGTAAGTATACAGTCAGGGAAAAGAAAAGTCTTTAAAGGAAAGGGCACAAATGAAAAAAAGGAATATAACTTCCTTCATATAAGACAAATTAACACAGATACCACTTTAAAGGAAAAAAGCTGTGAAAAATATATTTGCAAGCACCTTTTAATATGCTACAATATGAGCATCTTAATTGGCAGCTGAATTACATGGAAAACTGACACTGTTGCTGAACTTTATTATTATTTCTGGGATTTTTTTGCTCATATAACTGTTTGGTGGTCCTGGAATTCAGTGTTTGCATTGAAGACAAACAGATTCAAAGTATAGTAGGACTGTTATGTTCAAACCACCTTTATGGAGATTACTTCACTACACTCCACTGTTGTATGGTAGGTGTGCATCCTACAAGTAAGCAGCAGCTGAATGCAACCTCTCAAAAAGACTTCTACATTTTAAAAAGCTGAAGTGAAATGGACAAACTTTGTGATTGCTGCTGCAGGAGGTTTGCCTTAGTTGTGCTGGTACACATGGGTCATGGTTTTAGAAATGTATTCATCATACCTGGTGCTTACAGTACCTGTCTGTGGTGGCTTGTTTTGTGATGTTGTGAAATCAGCAAGGTTGTAGATCTTTCATATGGCATGACTTGAACTTGTGGAATATTAGCTTTCCTATTTAGATGCCCTACATATGGAAAATAGATATTATTACAAAGTTATTAGCAAAGGAAAATTTCCTCTAAAGGAAATGTGGACACCAAAGCAGATAGCAGAAAACAGAAGTCATGCTGACATTTAAGGCTGTGTACCTGAGGAGTTACAAATATTCACACAGTTTGACAGGAAGAAAAGCAAAGGATTAATTTAAAGAAAATGGCTGTAAATGTACAGACATAGAAAATCTGGACCAGTGGTGAATCAGAGTCAGTTCTGTAGAATTTCAGTCACCAGTTCAGCTGAAGGGAAAGTTTCTGAAATCCTCCTCTTGGAGATGAGAGCATTTTAGTTACCTGTAAATGGGATTGAGCAATGAATCCATGAGCTTGTCCCAAGATCCAAGAAAGAAAACCTGTGTCACTGTTTTTTTTGTAGAGGAATCTGTAACATGAGTACTGGAAGGATGGCAATCATCTTTGCCATATAGTGTAGAGTCAAGGATGTAGTTACTATGATGTGAGGCAATTTTCTATATGTCCACAGAAACTCAAGCAACAGCTGAATTTAGAAGAAAAGACAGACCAAGCATCTTTAGTCAACTAGAATATTTTATCTTGTGCTGTGTAATACCATTGCGAGACTAACTTAACTCCCCAGAATTATGCATAACTTTATGGCACATTGGAGTGCTGGAGAGAAACAGAATTATAGCAGTATTGGAGAGAAACAGAATTTTACCTCTTTTTGTATTTTCTGTCATGTTTGCCTTCATTTAAAGCTGTTCATAGAACCCCTGGCTTGTGAATCTCTCAGCTGAATGTGGTTTTTGAATTTTCAAGTATTCTTTCTTTTCTTTAATACCAGTATGTCGAAAATCAGTGTCTCATGTTCCACATTATATGATACTCAGTTAAAATCTAAAGAAACATTATCTGTTACAGTGGTCACTGTTTTAATTATCTATTTTAAAGAAGGAAGTGCAGCAGGTGGTTTTAATTTTTTTTGGTGTAAGATGCATTTTATTATAGAGAAATAAAGGAGCAATAGTCAGTAGTATAATTTACAGATTTGTTTTCTGTGTGATAGGCTGAACAAGCATCTATTACATCTGAATTTGAGAGCTACAAAGTCCGTGTTCATAATGTTCTAAAACAGCAAAAGAATAAATCTGCTGCTCGGACAGAATCTGAAGGAGCCAAACAAGAAAGGTAAAACTAACATTTTTACTTGATCTGTAATCTGACTGTGGCACTGCCTAGCTGAACAGAAGAAATATTAGCTTCTACTGTCATATTGCTGTATTCATTTCTAGTAGCTGGGTTTGTCTTTTAAACCATGATTTTTATGTAGATTACCTATTGTTACAGTCAGAAGGAGAAGTAAGGTCTTGGAAAGTTTTTTATGACTCTCATGAGCAGAAATTAGCCAGCACATTCTTTATAGACTTGACATGGCGTTTTCTCTGATGTGAAGTAGCCAGGTGCCATTTGCAACTAAGAGGAAAAGAGCAGATTGGTTCACTTTAGCTGAGCTCACTTTGAACTTTTTCAGGAGTGAGTGGTTTAGTGTAGGTAAAGCTCTGGATGCAAATTCAGTCATCATTTCCAGTAGATTTATAAAATCCTGTATGTTGTATCATGGGAGGAAAGACTTGGAAGAAAACAGTTACACTGCCAAAAGTTCCCTGAAAATCTTTTAAGTACAGTCATAAGCCAGGTGAGTTTAGATTCGCTTCAGAAAATGTCTCAACTCACTGCAAAAGTAAATTAGTTTCTGTAAGTTATTTTTATAAGTCATTGGTGGCTGCCCTTGGTGATGGACTGGGCGTTTCTGTGTGAAACGTCAGGATTCGTTTCTGACCCAGACCTTCAGTCAGTACCGGCAATTGCAGACAAAAATCCACCAGAGGGCGACTTATGCCTTCTTAGAGGATTTGGGTTTAGGTCTGGTTTGGCGTTTTTGAAACATTCTTGCCTTTGAAGCAACCAAACCATAAGAATTGCATTTCTTTGTCTCTCCTTTTTGCAGAATTTGAAGAAGTTCTGGTATTGTTAATTTTTTGTGAGAGAGAGCCATCTTGGAAATAAATTGGATAAGTAATAAACAGATGGCAAATGGTTCCAAAGAAATTATTTACAAGTCTCAGCTCTAAGGAATAGTGAGATACACAGTTCATGAAATAATGGAGGTGTCTGTGTATATAAACAGAGAAATCAGTAAAAAAATAATGTGTGTGATTTAAGATTTTTTTTCTTCCTGCTTTTTCTGATTTTGAATTATTGCTGGCCAACAGAGTTTATCTGTTATGGACTTGATGCTGCCTTCTAGTAATTTGCTCAAAATCTACTCCAGTCATTTGGCCCCTGCATTTGGTCTTACTGAACTGATATGCATTTACTAAACAAAAAAAAAAAAAAAAGCCTCACCACTTTTGAGAAGAATTTCTTTCTCCCATCCAAATCCCATATATTATTTTTCTTCTGTCTGGTCTCTCCTTGAAGTACAAAGTGCTGTCAGTCATGCTTCCTACCCCAATAGTTTCATTCCCAGTAGTTCACATTGGGATGTGGCAAACCTATTTGTATCTATGTTGAAAGAGGATCTGATTGTTTCTGCTGTAGCCACATTCTAAGATTATTTTGGTCTTAGTGCTGTGTTGATTTATTAATAAATATGCAAATTGGATCAGCTATCCAAAATATTGTGGATATTGTATAGGTTCTGAAATAATGTAATTATTTTAAATAATAATGCTGTGTATTCTTTTTTCTTCCATGTACAGGGAACAGTTGGAAATGGTGATAGATCAACTTAAAGTTAAGTTGCAAGATGCTCAGCATAATTCACAGATGAATGCCTCTGAACTCCAGACATTGCAGTCGGAACATGACACCCTGCTGGAAAGACACAATAAGATGCTGCAAGAGACTGTTGCAAAAGAAGCAGAACTCCGTGAAAAGTATGGTCTCCTGGTGAATAGATAGGAATATTCTTTTTGTTTGAATTTTAAGATCTTAGCATGTATAAGCCCATAATAATACTTCACAAAGAAAGAGCATGTTGAGAAAGTTAAAGGAATTTTCAAAAGGATTGTTTGCTATTTTTCACAAGCCATCAGAAGTTTCTACAATGACTATGAAATAGTAGCTGATCAAGGAATTTGAGATTTCTGCAAGCTTACTATCTCTTAACTATCAAATCTAAAACTTAACATTTTTTAATCACATTGACTCTTTCTGAGTTTAATGCCCAGCACCACATTTGTGTTGTGCTGCTCTACTAAATTTTATGGATGTTTCCTATTAAAAAAACTAAGTTTTATGCAAAGCAAACGAGTTTACTGACAAAATATGCAGTTCTTGTCCACCAAGTGCCTTTCTTGCAGAAAGTACTATATTTTAAGTTTGTGCTTGCACCAGGCTTAATTTGCTGTTTCATTCAAAATGAAAGGAATCTGTTTAATCTGTATCACTTCTTGTAAAATCACATGAATACCTAATACTTAAGCTCCTCAAGAAGAGTCTATCATTGTTTCTTCTTCTCCATTTTGGGTACAAAGAAGTTCACATGAAGTATTAATTAGAAATTACAGATTGATATTAGGAACTATTGACTTCTTGTCATTGACTTTGTACAGTTTTATCTGTTCCTCATAGCTACATAATGAATCAGTGTAGTCTATCAAATTATGTTCTGCATTTTTCTGGAAACAATCCATTTCACAATAGGTTCCATTTACACCTAAACACTGGTCTTTTCTACACTGGCTCTGTTTAAGTCTGTATGCTTATAAAGGTAAGTCCTGGGCTTAGTTTTTCCATAAATGCATTTGTTTAATTGCTTGTGACTTTATTTATTTATCCAAAGATGTCTGAATTTTTTGTTCTGAAGTAAAAGTTGAGAGTAGCACTATAGCACAGTGCATTCATATAATAAGTAATGTGTAACTTTTTCAGTCTCAGATTTTCCCTGTAAAAAGAAGACTTTAAATGAAAATAAGTTGCACATGTAGTCATTCTAAGATAATCATACACATGAAAATTGAAGACAGCCTCAAACTGTAAAAATTTTGAAATATAAAACTTACAGTATTTTTCTGTTTGTGTCTTACTGTTTGTGCATGCACTGTTTTCAGGCTCTGCACAATACAGTCTGAGAACATGGTCATCAAAACAGAGCATGCCCAGGCATTGAGTCAGCTGACAGCCCAGAATGAAGCTCTCCGGAACAATTTCAGAGATCAGGTCAGGAATCTGCAAGAAGAGCACAGAAAGACAGTAGAAACACTTCAGCAGCAACTCTCCAGAGTAGAAACTCAGCTCTTCCAGCTCAAGAGTGAACCAAGCACTAGAGGTAACTTCCAGGCTTGAGTACCAAGTTTTCATGGGCTGGTTACAGATTCATGTACCTCAGTGTGAAGGTAAACCATGCTTATAGTGTTTGATTCTGTAAAAACACCAGCAACTGTTTCTCAAAAATCTACAGCATGCTGTATCAGCCCACAGATACCAAGTCAGGAATGCTTCTTTGTTACTATTTACTGTCACTTCCTATTTACTGTCACTTCGGAATACTAAGGTTCTTGAATACATCCTGAGGAGGACAACAAAGGTGGTGGAAGGGTTGGAAGGACTGTCCTGTGAGGAACCACTGAGGACTCTGAGTTGGTCTAGTTTGGAGAAAAGCAGACCGAGGGCAACCTCATTGCTGTCTTACAGATTGCTGAGTGGGGCAAGTGAGGAGGGATAATGTTTTAATTTATGATCAGCCTTGAAGTGGTCAGGCAGTTGGACTAGATACTTGTAGGTCACTTCCAACTGGATCTGTTCTGTTCTAGAATCTGCATCACTGATACCTATTCTGCAGTATTTGCATTGTCAGACAGATGGAGGGAAATTACTTTGTAAATACTTGGTGTTCTTCTTATCAGGTTGTCTCAGGTTTTGGAGCATGCTGGACATCTGCCTCAAGTATAAAGTGTAAAGCTAGAGAAAAGTGTATTGGAAGCTGTTTTAAGAATGCTTGTTATTTGTATACATGCAATTTATCATACTTGCTATTCAATCCTTCTTTCATTTTAAGACTTTACTGTCTTCAATCTCAAATGTTATTTTCGTATCTGTAAAGTTACTAATCAGGAAGAAGTTGGACATTTGCCAAGCAACAATAACAGTTTAAGAAGTTGCTCTATTATTACTGAAGTAGAAGGGTCATGCACACAGCAGTAGAACGGAAGAATTTACGCCTCCCACAGGACTGGTTGAAGCAAAAGTGAATTCAGTTTTGCATTAAAGGTGTTTGTTACTCTTACCATAGCTAAAACACATCTTCAGGGAGATGTGCATGAAGGTTTCATAGTCACTGAAATAAAAATTGCCAGTCAAATTCGGGTTTAGAACCAGACTTGGATTGGAATGGCCACTTGGAGGTGAAAGGCTGTATTTATTTTACTGTTATAAATGTTACGTGCATATCTGGCTTTTTCTTTTGCTTCACCATCCCCTGCATTTTGAGGACTATTTTATGTACCACTCTCAATCCAAGACAGTCACACGTAGGAAATAGCCCTCCCAATTTCATTCTGATATGAACATCAGTAAGTATCTTTCAGGTCCAGCTGTTTCAAATCCAGCAATGAAGAGCTTGAGAGAACGGCGGAACACTGACCTTCCTGTCCTCGATGTGCACACTGTCGCTAGGGAAGAGGGAGAAGGTATGGAAACAACAGACACGGAGTCTGTGTCCTCAGCCAGCACCTATGTTCAATCCTTGGAGCAACTTCTGAACTCATCAGAAGCAAAGCCTGGTAGGTAGAATGTGGCTTTCAGAAGTGCTTGCCTACATAGGTTGCAGAAGTTCATGCCCTCAAAATATTTTAGAGCATTGTGTTTTCATGCTTTTAGGTGTAAGACACAAGCTTAGTCAAGTGCCACTGAGTTTATACTGTCCTGAACTTTTGTAGGAGTTTTGTCATTGAGTAAGAACTAACAGTAGGACATTCCTACAAGTTTTAGTGATTTAAAGGTGTCATATTTCTGAGCTTTTAAAGGGAAAGACTGGGTGAACAAGTCAGTGAATAGTTAGAGAAATTTTTGTATTCTGGATGAGTCTCTAATAGGGATAATTAAGTGCTGATTTAACCCTGAAAGGATAAAATTTCTGTTCATCATAATGAGGCTTATTAGAACAGTACTTGATTCATAGGGTTTTTCTAGGAAAGTAAAGCACAGCATGAAAGAATGTTTTGGGAGTCCCCAAAAACCAGAAAAATACATGTTAGCATATAATCCAGTTTTAGAAGTCTATTGAACACTACATGGATAGCTATTGAAAATCTCAATTTATGGGTAGGAAACAAGGAGTAAGTTAAAACCAAGTATCTTGAGGTACTCTAGAGCTGCCAGCCCCCTTCTAATCCATAAACAAAAATAGATCAGAAAATAAGCATGCAGCAGCATTGATGCCTGTTAAGTCCACACTCTGACTTTGCATTAATTCTGTTCATAAGAAACTAATGAATGATTAAGACATTAACCAAGTCCTGATGCTAAGTTAGTATGAAGTAGGTGCAAGTGCTTCTTCCTTTTCTTAGTTTTCTTTTCCAATTAATTGCAGAACCATCTCAGTGGCAAGCAGATCTCACCAAGGATGAACTGATTCAGAAACTAAACACAACAACTAAGAGTGCTGATCACTTGAATGAATTACTTCGTGAATCAGAAGCAACCAATGCAATCCTAATGGAACAAATAAAGGTTAGCAGACACACAAGAGATGTGAAGACAGCTCTAATTTCCGTGGTCTGTTTCTTAGACCAAATGTTTTTCAGAAAATCTCTGTCTATAAAATTTTGGTGATGTAAAACTTAGTTTGGGAGGGGGTTTTATTCCACAGGTCTAACTAGTGCTTCCAGGGTCTACTTCAGTTTTTGGGGTTTTTTTCACTACAGTTTGTAGTTGGGTAGGCATGGTGGGGAGAGGGGACAGGAGTGTGGAGTAAAAGCTTCTACAAAAAAAACCCTCAAGAGTTTGGAAGTTTAATGTTTAGTAAAGGGTCCATACTATTTTCACTTAGATAAAAGCAGTAAGTACCAAGGGAAGCAGTGTTGGGTTTCTCTTTCTGTAACCCATTTTAGCTCTCTTAAGTTAAAAGAAGACACATGAACTCATGTATGAGTGAGTTTTCTGAAGACATTTCTAAATGTACTAAGCTTTCTCTTCAAAAATGCTTTTAAATGAATGTCATCAGATTTCCGAATTATTTAACTGTTCAACTGTTACTACTCTTTTATCACTGATATTGTATCTCTGTACTGCACAAATTTTATCAAAAAAGGTTATTTTTAGTCAATAATAAATTCTTACAACATTATTACATATTTTATTTTCACTGGATTTTCATCCTGTATATGTTGCTAAACACCCATTTTTCTTTTTGAAGCAAGCTGTGCAATTAATTTTTTAGCTCTTCAAAAGACCTTTGTTCAATTACTCATTAAATGAAGCAAGCAGTATTTTATTTTTTTTTTTCTTCTCATCTGCAGCTTCTTAAGAATGAAATAAGAAGACTGGAAAGAAATCAAGAGAGAGAAAAGTCTGTGGCTAACCTAGAATACTTGAAGAATGTTCTATTGCAGTTCATATTTCTGAAATCAGGAAGCGAGAAGGAACGGCTGCTCCCAGTGATAGACACCATGTTGCAGCTCAGCCCTGAAGAGAAAGGGAAGTTGGTTGCAATTGCCCAAGGTACATGGTGTTCAAAATATTGTCACAAAGGGGAAAATTGGAGAAGGGATAGTTCTGTGCTCTCTGTTGCCTAGACCTTTGAGAATAAACAAAACTTAGTATCATAATGTCAGTGAACTAGTCATAAAACCATTTTCTCTGTTGGGAAGTTACTATTCAGTTTTCAGTAAACAGAACAAATACCATTAAATTGATATAAAAT